TTCCAGTAGTCATGTATGGATGTGAGAGTTGGACTATTAAGAAAGCTGAGTGTTGAAGAATTGATACTTTTGAACTGTGGTGTTGGAGAAGACTCTTGAGAGTCCCTTGGCCTGCAAGGAGATCCAACCAGTCCATCCTAAAGAGGATCAGTCCTTGGTGTTCATTGGAAGGTTTGATGTTGAAGGTGAAACTCCAATACTATGGCCACCTGATGCGAAGAGCTGACTTATTGGAAAAACCCTGATGCTGGGAAAGTTTGAGGGCAGGAGGAGAAGGGGACGACAGAGGATGAGATGGTTGGATGGCATCTCCGACTCAATGGACATGAGTCTGGGTGGGCTCCGGGAGTTGGTGTTGGATAGGGAGGCCTGTGTGCTGCAGATTATGGGGTCGCAGAGTCAGACATGACTGAGCGACTGAACTGAACTGACCTTTAGTCTCAGGAGCATATTGGTCCAGTTGACTCTCTTGGGCTCAAACCATTCTCTTTTTCTTCCTCACGTGTTTGAGCCCATCTAGGGAGCTAAATAGGGCTGAATTTCACAAGTACACTTCTGTAAGATGGGGCGCAGATACTGCACAGCTTGTTTATATCCAAGTGACTTTCCCACAGGTTTTAACAGATCTATTTCTTGTCATCTGGGTATTCTCTCTTTGCAGGTCATGTCTGCTGGAAACTAGGAGGTAGCCACTGAGAGCAAATTGTGTCAGGGCAGGTGGACTTACAATCTTGGCCCACCCAGACACTTAAAAAAGACCCAGCCCACCACCAAATACATTATTAGGAGTATACAAATCCCATGGGCTCACAGAGAAGATCCTTAGTCCACTCATTAATTCTATTTCTCAACATTGACAGACTGGTTCTCCAGTCTTTTGGAATTCACTTTTTCATTGCCCAGTGAATCATCTGGATGGGTTACTCTTGGCATTGACCATTGGGCTTGACATGTAAGCTTTTGTTCTGTCTACATGAACACAACCAAGATATCAGCCATGGTTCAGTGGGATGTTTTAGCATGGTTCACTCCTCCCCCAACCCTTTTCACCCAGTGATGGAATCTGGCAACCCACCCACTGTCTCCTGCCTCCTGCAGTTACTGAAAGAATGGAAAGCATAACAGACTGGTTCCCCAACCCCCCTGAGGTTAAATGGCATGCATTTCCTGATAGGATGCTGAAAAAGTAGTCATGGGGAAAACAGAAGTGTGACCTCACTGCAAAGACATGTTACTGTATGATATTTCAGCGGTGAAACTCCAGCAAAGCCAGCCCAGGGTCTTAACAGACTGTGGGTCCTTGTGCCCCACACCCAGCACTGACCCCCAACCTCGCTCCCTGAGTAAGAACAAACAAACAACTCACTGTAAACTGGATTTGGCAGCCACCCATGATGTAGTCCAAGAAAGAATGCATCTTGTGAATCTGCATGGGAGGAGAGGAAGCTGTATTAGAACAGTGTGATCCAAGTACTTACACATTAGAGGCCTAAACATGGGGTTTGCTGACCTAGAGGGAAGAGCAGAGAAAGGCCTGTGGGGAAAAGATGAGTCAGCTATTATCTTTCATGAGAGGAGAGAAAGAAAACAGATGGGCCTGTGAGGGCTGCAACCATCCATCCTCTTTCTCACTCTTCTTGGGTTTACATGATTTTTATCAGCCTCTGCCTCTGGGGTGCGACTGGTACTGTGTTTTCACGGGTCACCACTGGTTTGAAATACATGAAGTCTCATGCTTAGCTTCAGTCTTGCTGCTCGTGTCTAAGTCCCAGTTCTGGTAATGTTCCTAACACCACAGTGAAAAAGACAAACAGCTTCAAGGTCACAATTGTCCAAGAAGCTCTCCACTGTAAGCTGCCAGTGAGTGAGATTCTTCCCTTGCCATGAAGAACAAGGATTAATATTTACTGAGCGCTAACTGTATGCCAAGCTCTTAACATACATGATCTCATTTAATTCTTAGAATGAGCCTGTGAAGGTGATGCTATGATTATTATTGTGTCCATTTTATCCATGAGGAAACTGAGGCTAAGATCACCTATCTAGATGGTGGAGGTGGGACTCAAATGTATCCTTTTAACCTCTGGGCTGGAAGTCCATAGTCTTCCTGCTTCTTGTCCCACCCCTAGCTTCTGTGTTCTTACACACTTTACNGGGATCTTCCCAACCCAGGGATCAAACCCAGATCTCTCCCAGTGCAGGCAGATTCTTTACTGTCTGAGCCACCACGGACGCCCAAGAATACTGGAGTGGGTGGCCCTGCTTCTATATCCCTACCAGTACCATATCCTCTGAGTGCCAGACTCTTAGATCAAAACAGTTATATGCACAGTCACCTTACAGACATGACTCATCTGGATCATCTTTTCTCCTGCTTCTATGGGCACAGGACTGTTCTGAATGCATCAGGATTTGGTCTGTATAGGTAGGTAGGTAATATGATTAGAGACAACTGCCTTTGAAAGAAGAGTTTATTATTCACAGCTCCCCAAAGGACTGAAGGCATATCCTGCCACACAAAGGGGCCACATGGGGTAGCACTGGGTTAGTCAGGAGGCAGGAGGCATGCAGGGGAAGCAGAGACAAAAGTCATTATGGTGGTTTTTGTCGGGAGGAATGAGTGAGGCAGGTAAGCAGTTAAGCAGGTTTAGGACTGAATAATGAGTGATTATGGAGGCTCTGGGCATTAGGCATGGTCTCTAATTGTCTGAAACTGGCTCTGGGGTGACACAGGGCAGAGGGAATATTGGCTTGGTGTGTGAGAGCTCAGGAAAGGGGGTGGCTAGGGAGACAGGCTCTGGATTGCTCTGTCTGCGTGTCAAAGATGGGCTCATAGGCACGCTGATTGCTATCTCGAGGAATTAGCTAAACCTAATAGGGGCAGTTCTTCTCAGTATGCAAGTCCCCAAGATATCAAAGCATCATAAAATACAGGAAACATTATCAAAACAATGATCCCAGATGGCCAATTGTAAGCACTGTTATTGTCTAGTTCCAGTAATTAGTTCACAAGATAGGCCTCTGACTTAAGCTAGACCCATCAGTCTTTTCTCCAACTCTTCCGTTATATGAGAATGGGCTCCTACAGCCCCTGGCAGCCAGGAATGCCAACTCTGAGAAAAGGAACCTGATATATTTAGAGAGAGACTGGATGGCATGGAAGTCTTATATCATGGAGTCAGACAGACAGAGATTAAAATCTCAGCTCTTGCCATGTGTGTGACAATGAACTAGTTACAATCACATTTGAAGGTAGACATCTCAGAGTTGTGGGAAGAATAACAGAATGTATTGTAGTTATTTTTACCATAGCAAGTACTCAACCAATGGCAAAATTATTCTCAGAGGGGGTTTTCTGCAAAGTTAGAGCCCCTCTGGGAGAAATTTTTAGGTGTTTTACTCATCCTCCATGTCTTGTTTTCATGGTATCTCTTCAGCATGGAGGAGGTGCCACATACAAAGCATTGAGTGGTAAGTACGAGTGATTATCACTTTGTGTGATAAGCACAGAGTTAGGTGCTTTAGAATGTGTCTAAAAGTGACACTTAAGAAAGTGTCAGCAGGAACGAAAGTGTCTTCCAGAAACAGAGGTGGTACGCAGAATATACATACGGAAGATAAATCTTTAAGTCTGAGTATGCCTGTGGTTACAGAAGAGGAAATGGAGAACGAAAGTTTTAGTGAAACAGAGTTCACAGCACCCAAGAGGAGAAGAAAACACAGAACAAAAAAGCCTGGTGTAAAGTACTTAATATTGAGCTCTCTGACAAGAAAAGATTTATATTGGTGTGTATTGAACAGGACGACTGCCAGTATTAAAACTAGTTCTTCTGGGAAGCTGTAGATGTTTCTTTGAAATGGCAATACTTTAATGTAGTTATGGAATAAAAGTACAAAAAAAAAGAGTAAAAATTTACTCTAAAACTTAATATTAGTGTTTTCTTTTGTGAAATATGCATAAGTGAAGATAAAATTTGAATTTAGACTATAATAGAAATAATCCTGTTTTTGGCAGATTATTGCAATTTTCCATAACTTTTTATGGTATTACATTGTCTTGGTACAGTTCTGGTAATATTAACTATTCTATTTAAAATCTTTTTTTGTTAAAAACTTAATGCTTATTACATGTAAATGGGGTCTTCCATTTAGCAGCTGGTAAAGGATCTGCCTGCAATGCAGGAGACCCTGGTTTGATTCCTGGGTCAGGAAGATTCCACTGAAGAAGGGATGGGCTACCCACTCCAGTATTCTTGGGCTTTCCTGATGGTCCAGCTGGTGAAGAATTCGCCTGCAATGCAGGAGACCTGGGTTTGATTCCTGGGTTGGAATGATCCTCTGAAGAAGGGGGCAGCTACCCACTCCAGTATTCTGGCCTGGAGAATTCCATGGACTGTATAGTCCACGGGGTTGCAAAGAGTTGGACTCAACTGAACGACTTTCACTCACTCACTCAAGTGCTTTAGAAATGTTGGTTGCCCCCATCTGGGGACCTCCCTCTGATGCTGTCCTGGGCAGAGGAGAACCTGACTTGTGACCAGGACTCCGTTATTTTTGGGCAGGACTGTCTTTGTTGAGGTGATGGAGGCATTGGCCTACCAGAGCTCCAAAGCCACCCAAACTTATAATATATGTCCACTAATACCTTGATGTTCTGATTTTTTTATTTTAAAAAGGTCACATCTTCTTGACACTCTCTCTTTCTGTGCAGACCACCTGGGCCTTCCTCCCAGACAGCCTTAGCTTCAAACTCCTGGAAGACAGGGGCTATGTTTATACCTTGCACTGATTCAAAATCACAATGCCCGAGTTCTTATAATTCTTCTTCTTGGCTTTGTACTTGGGGTTGATACACTCCCACTGCACCTGCAATAAGAAAGGTTATTCTATGATTGCCAGCTCAGGAAGAAGTAGAGTTATTAATGAGGAGGCCCCTGGGTGCTGTTGCAGGCGGTCCTGAGGGCTGACACCTGCTCTCTAGCTGATCCCCTTGCATATGGAGGGGAAGAAAGGAGAAGTGGTGAGAGGAAGACTCTGATAACGTCTGCCTGGTTTGAAACCCAGCTCCTCACTTTCCAGCTGTGTGACCTCTGACAAATGACTCGCTTCCCTCATGCCTTGCATATTGCCTCTGTAAAATGGAGCCCATAATTATAGCTATCTCATAGGGTTACTGTGAGGATGGAATGAGTAGCCCCTATAATACATTTAGAACAGTGCCTGACACTTATAAATGCTTGCTATGAATGGGGTCAAATCAAAAAGCAGAGGGAAGGAGAGATCTTGGGACACATAGCTGAGTAACCCAAATGCTGAGTCTTAGTGTCTGGGAATAGACTTAAGAGGCAGGAAAACTGAGGAACGCTGAATACTGGTTATAGGAAGCGGATGGGGATGATGAGTTTGCTTAACTTCGCAGAGGACTAAAATGATGGATTGATACATATCACAATGGTGGCACTTTCTCCAGAGGGGTTTCTGTGAGGGATAGAATCAGAACTGAGGAGGCAGTTGGGAGTTAATGGGTGAACAGAGCTCAACATTTCTACACAAGACTTCATGGGACAAAGCTAACTGCATTTTGACTACTGACAAAGTCAAACATCCAAGAGTCACCAAATTGCTCCTGCCCACTGTCCTACAGGAGTCTTCCTTGGATTTTCACTCAGAAGACAAATTTTCACCCCCTGACAATTGGAAGTGTCTGAAAACAAAGACATTTCTGAGCCAGATGTTAGTGGATAGGCTGATACAGCACTGTCTGCAATGACCCATTCTTCCCAGCGCACAATGACTTTGAACTTTGTCAGGTGACTTGTTCTGACTGATGGGACATTAACAAAAGTGATATGAGCAGAGGTTTCACAAGTGCCTGTGCAGTGGGGCTTGCCCTGCCCTTGCTGATTGGATGTTTTCAGCACCATGTGAAATTAGCCTAGGCTGGTATCCCAGAGGATGAAAGAGCACGTTGAGAAACATCTCAGCTACCCCAGCTGCAGAGGCACAAATGCAGGAGTGAGTCCCCTTGGCATTGTTTGGAGCCGAGAGGCGTTTCCCAGAGGAACTCAGCCCAGATTGCTGACCTCTTGTCCTGCCTATAGCTGTGGCTTCCTGAAAGATCTCCCTGCCTCACTCTCATCTCTCTATAACTGATTCTCTATACAATAGCCAGAGTAATCTTGAAAAAAATTAATGTCATTCTCCAGTCTTTTCATTCTCCAGTCTAGACTCCTTCATAGCATTGCACAATAAAACTTTCTACAATAATGAGAAGATTCCACATCTGCACCAACCAATGTGAAAGACACTAGCTACATGAGCACTTGATATGTGTGTGTATGTGTATGTGTGAGAGAGAGAGAATTGAAATTTAACTGAATTTACCTTAAAACTTCTTAAAACTGAGATAGGTGTATATAGGTAGTGGCTGCTAAATTGGAGAGTCTTCAGTGTGCTCTCAACACATTTATAGGAAAATATAAACTTTTTTCTCCAAGCTATCAGAACCTTCTTTTCTTGGCCTCTTGATCACATCTCATGCATGGCTCCCTCACCCTCTCTGCTACAGATAAACTGGTCTCTTTACAGATCCTTAAACACACCAAACTCTTTTCTGACTCAGTAAATTGCAAAGTTCCCTCTACCTGAAATGCTATTTCTTTGTTTTTTTATGGTTGACATTTCATTTTTAAGGGCCCTCATGTTCAATTTCATTTTTTTTCAGGTGATCTCTTTTATGTTACATCTTTATAACTAAAATGGCTCAGTTTTTTAATAACATTTGTCACAATGTATATTTACAGTTTTTGTTTTGTTGTTGTTCAGTCATTAAGTCATTTTTGACACTTTACAACTCCGTGGACTGTAGTACTCTGGGCTCCTCTGTCCTCCACTACGTCCTGGAGTTTGCATAGACTCCCGTCCATTGAGTTGTTGACGTTATCTAACCACCTCATCCTCTGCCATCCCTTCTCTTTTGCCTTCAATGTTTCCGAGCATTAGGGTATTTTCCAATGAGTCTGCTCTTTGCATCAGGTGGCCAAAGTATTGGAGCTTCAGCTTCAGCATCAGTCTTTCCAATGAATAGTCAGGGTTGATTTCCTTTTTCAGGATTGACTGGTTTGATCTCCTTGTAGTGCAAGAAACTCTCAAGGGTCTTTCTTCTCAACACCAAAATTCCAAACTATCAATTCTTCCAGACTGAGACACTTCTTTACTGTTCAAGTCTCACATCCACACATGACTACCGGCAAAACCAAAGCATTACCTATATTGACCTTTGTCAGCAAAGTGATACCTCTGCCTTTTAATATGCTAGGTTTGTCACAGCTTTCCTTGCAAGGAGCAAGGGTCTTTTAATTCCATGGCTGCAATAACCTCCACAGTGACTTTTGGAAGCCAAGGAAAGAAAATCTGCCACTGCTTCCACTTTTCCCCCTTCTATTTGCCATGAAGTGATGGAACTGCATGCCATGATATTAGTTTTTGAAATGTTGCATTTCAAGCCAACTTTTTCATTCTCCTCTTTCACCTTCATCAAGAGGCTCTTTAATTCCTCTTCACTTTCTGCCACTGGAATGGTATCATCTGCATACTGAGGTTGTTGATATTTCTCTCGGCAATCTTGATTACAGCTTGTAATTCATCTAGTCCAGCATTCACATAATGTACTCTGTATATATTAATAAGTGAAAGAAGTAGGGTAACAATATACAGACTTGAAGTACTCCATTCCCATTTTTGAACCAGTCAATTGTTCCATGTCCAGTTCAAACTGTAGCTTCTTGACCCACACATAGGCTTCTCAGGAGACAGGTAAGGTGGTCTGCTACTCCCATCTCTTTAAGAAATTACTACATTTTGTTGTGATCCACACAGTCAAAGAATTTAGCATAGTAAATGAAGCAGAAGTACATGTTTTTCTGGAAAACCCTTGCCTTCCCTATGATCTAATGAATGGTCTCAATTTGATCTCTGGTATCTCTGCCTCTTGGAAACCCAAATCGTCCATCTGGAAGATCTTGGTTGACATACTGCTGAAGCCTCGCTTGAAGGATTTTGAGCATAACCTTGTTAGCACATGAAATGAATGCAATTGTACAGTAGTTTGAACATCCTTTGGCATTGCCTTTTGGGATTGGAATGAAAACTGACCTTTTCCAGTCCCGTGGCCACTGCTGTGCGGTGTTGCTATGCTTAGCTTCTCAGTCGTGTCTACTCTTTACCACCTCAGTAGCCTGCCAGGCTCCTCTGCCCACGGAATTCTCCAGGCAGGAATACGGGAGTGGGTTGCCATGCCCTTCTCCAGGGGATCTTCCAACCCTGGGATCAAACCCAGGTCTCTCACATTGCAGGTAGATTCTTTACCAGCTGAGCCACAAGGAAGCCTGAGAATACTGGAGTGGGTAGCCTATCCCTTCTCCAGGGCACTTTTCTAACCCAGGAATCAAACTGGGGTCTCCTGCACCGCAGGCAGATTCTTTACCAGCTGGGTGGCCACTGCTGAGTTTTCCAAATTTGCTGATGTATTGAGTGCAGCACTTTAACAGCATCATCTTCTAGGATTTTAAATAGCTCAGATGGAATTTCATCACCTCCACTAGCTTTGTTTGTAGTAATGTCTTCTTGACTTCATACTCTAGGATGTCCAGCTCAGGAAGAGAGAGCACACCATCATGGTTTTCTGGGTCATTAAGACTTTAATTGTACAGTTTTTCTGTTTATTCTTGCCACCTCTTCTTAATCTCTCCTGCGTCTTTAGGTCCTTGCTGTTTCTGTCCTTTATTATATGCATCCCTGCATGAAAATTTCCCTTGATATCTCCACTTTCCTTGAAGAGGTTTTTAGTCTTTCCCATTCTATTGTTTCCCCCTATTTCTTTTCTTGTTCATTTAAGACGCCCTTCTTATCTTTCCTTGCTATTCTCTGCAGCTCTGCATTCAGTTTGGTATATCTATTCCTCTCTCCCTTGTTTTTTGCTTTTCTTCTTTCCTCAGGTATTTGTAAAGCCTCAGACAACCACTTTGCCCTTGTGCATTTCTTTTTCTTGGGGATGGTTTTGGGCACTGACACCTGTACAGTGTTACAAACTTCTGTCCACAGTTCTTCAGGCACTCTGTCTACCAGATCTAATCCCTTGAATCTATTTGTCACCTCCATTGTAAAATCATAAGGGATTTTATATAGGTCATATCTGAATGGCCTAGTGGTTTTCCCTACTTTCTTTGATTTAAGCCTGACTTTTGCAATAAGCAGTTTATGATCTGAGCCACAGTTAGCTCCAAGATCTTGTTTTTACCGTATAGAGATTCTCCACTTTTGGCTGCAAAGAACATAGTCAATCTGATTTTGATTTTGACCATCTGATGATGTCCATTTGTAGAGTCATCTCTAGTGTTGTTGGCAAAGGGTATATTCTATGATCAACCTGTTCTCTTGACTAAACTCTGTTAGTCTTTGCCCTGCTTTATTTTGTACCCCAAGGTCAAACTTGCATGTTAATCTGGGTATCTCTTGACTTCCTGCTTTTGCATTCCAATCCCCTATTATGAAAAGGACACCTTTTTTGAATGTTAGTTCTAGAAGTTGTTGTAGGTTTTCATAGAACTGGTCAACTTCAGCTCGGCATCAGTTCTTGGGGTATAGATATGGATTACTGTGATGTTGAATGGTTTGCTTGAAAAAATAACCAAGATCATTCTGTTGTTTTTGAGATTGCACCCAAGTACTGCATTTTAGACTCTCTTACTGGGCTTCCATGGTAGCTCAGTTGGTAAAGAATCTGCCTGCAGTGCAGGAGACCCTGATTTGAATCCTGGGTTGGGAAGATTGTCTGGAGAAGGGATAGGCTACCCACTTCAGTATTC